CAGTTCGACTCATTTTCTGACGCTGAATCCCAATTAATTAGTTTCAAAGATTTAACATTGGTCTAAATGAGCGAAATCTTGAAATTTCCTGAAAAATACTCAAAAGTCCAGGTTTTGAGGGTGTTACTCATATTTCGAAGATTTTTCAGCCAAAATTCGATCGAAAAATATTTCAAAGGTGATATTCGTGATCAGCTCGACGAGCTCTATCCAACCATGTAAAAAATATAAGGGGTCAAAATTTTTGTTCTGGAAGCAGCTTACCACTATCAACATAAAAGTACTTTGACTCTATCTCAAGTCGCGCATCACTTCCGAGTTTTTCACTACGTACGTTTTAATCAGAAAAAAATTCTCTACAAGATAGACTAGGTCCCGTCGCTGGCACCGAACTTCGATGTAAACTTGGTATGTTTCAGATGGATATGCTCATCATACAACTATATATTCAATTACGATTAAACTAATGAATTCAGATCAATTATTGCTATTGATGACACAAACTCTCAAATCCTTCTTTGTTAGACATGGTTCAGAATTGAAAAGCTATAGTTATAAATAGATTCAATCGATTTTCAAATTTTTATCTTATAAATCTATGACTTTTTTTTTTAAAGATTCATTTCTATTATTTATATCAATCTTTGTTTTTTTTTTTTTTTTTTTCTTACCAATGAATCAAACCAATAAGAATATCTAAATTAAGTATACATAAATTTTTTTTCAATATATGTGTATTTAATTTAGCAAATTGATCATATCGATCTGCATAAATTAATTTCGATAGAATATTTGTTTTTAATCTTCTTTCTTCTTGTTTTATTAATATTCTTTGTTTATTTGTATTAAGTATTCCATTAGCAGATAAATATCGTAAATAAAGCATAAATGTACATTCAATAAATTCATTATGTTTTTCTTTTTTTATATAATCTAAATGAATAATTGATTGAATTTGTTTATTTAATATATAACTATATACTTCATATGAACTCCAAACATGTTGTTCTAATAATAATTGTTCATTATCATCATCAACAGATATCTTTCTCATTGGCGGTATTATTTCATTTGTTTCATCTACTGAATATAATATTGTTTTATTATCTTCAAAAATTTTTATTTCTGGTATAATTTCATCAAATTTTGATAATATTTGTGTTTGATTAGGTACACGACGACCTAATTGTGCATTACCTTCATTAGCAAATGAAACATGTATTTGTAATGATATATTTTGTGATTGACATACAACACAATAGAGACGTCCATCAATATGTTCAAATTGATTTGAACCACAATTTTGACATAGTTGATGTGACATTTTTATTTACAAAATAAAAATCTGAAAATAAAAAACAAACATATGACTGAAGAGTTTAATAATATGTTACAAATATTCTTCATTAAACAGAGTAGATTTTATTGCGGATGTTAATAGAACAGTAATATTAACATATGTTACTAGTTTTTCAGATGAATACCCGTATAAATAATTAGTCGAGCGACAAGCGGAATGGTTTTTTTTTTTGCGGATTTTTTTTTTAATATCGTTGAGTATACAACACATCATTTTTCTGTGAATTAATTGAAGATTTTTAATGATAAAGCAAAATAAGATGCAAATGCTTTATCGAAATAATATAGCTTTTTTAATTCTGATAAAAATACTAAAATTTGTTCGGAACGACGATTGAAAATTCGATGAATCTGATTGGATGATCGAATTGACTAATTATAAAATTATTTCGCATTCAAAAAAAAAATAAAAAAATTTTCAATTTTTTCATAAAACAAATCATTTTTAATGATAAAAAATATAAAAACAATAGATGAGAATTGATCTTGTCAATTCATTCGTGAAAGCGTTTTTAATTGATCAATCACTTTCTCACTAAAAGCTACTGAACTATGAATTATCAACCATAGTTATACACTGAGCGAGTATATCAAGTTATCTGTAAGACAGTTAACTTTTCTGTTTCACAAAATTCCACCCACATCCTAGAATAAGATACTTCTTTTCTAGATAATTCGATATGCTCCTTAATCTCAATAGATCAAAACTTTGACGAAACTTTTTTTAGTCTGGAAAACTAATCTATGAAGACCTAAGTGAATTTCACATAGTCGTATTCGAAATCAACATGGTTGATAATCTACAATTCACTGATTTTTGATGAGAAAAAGATTGATTAGTTGAAAACATTTCTCTGTTAGTCCTACAACTTATTAAAATTTGTACAAAAAAAAGAAAATAGTATGTATGAACTTGTCAAATTGTTTTTCTTTAAGATAGATAATTTGGCACTCATCGTGAAATTCATGTAAATGTGAATCTTCGTTTTTTTTTTTTTTAGTTTTTTTCTTACTTACTTATTTAAACAGAATTTAGTATTCTTGTTCATTATCTTGATGGATTAGTTTGAAAATATTATAGTGATCAAATAATATATGTTGTATCTTGTAATTCTTACAGAAAATTGATTGTTAAAAAGTTGAAAAAAAAAAAAAACAACGAAATAATCGATTATTTGATGCATTTAATAATAATTTTATACGAATATGTTATACTAAATTAATACATAATCTTTGTTTAGTTTTTTCTTTTAGAAATGTCGATGATTTAGAACAAAATTATTAACATATATATTTACATTTCGATCTATTGATTTTTCATTTAGTTATTTGTTGTATTTTTCTCGAGCAGATATCTTGTGGTCTTTAGATAAATACGAAGGAAGCTTGAGATACTTTATTTAACAAATTGAGCTATTCAAGAATTGCTCAGGAAGAACTATTCCCAACTATCCAATGGCTTTTTATTTGGGAGGGCGTGGCTATCAATGAAAATAATATTCACATCTCGAAACCACTTGTTGACTATCACGAAATCTTGAAAAGTTGCTGCTCTGACTGTAAAATATGGTTTCAAATTATCAGAATGTAGACAACCTGATCAGAAATTTTCGTTCTACAAACTTATCCTTTTAAGATTAACAATAATTTCATTTTGGTGTTTGACAATGTAAAGCGTAGAAATATTCTTTTGTTTGTATTTATATGAAACAACATTTTAAATAATCAAAAGAGACTTCACAGAAACGGTCTTATAGCCAAAGTCAGATGGTTTACGGCATGCCTATATATACCCATAATCACACCCACACCCTATAACAGATTTTCTACTTTACCTATGTTGTATTAGTTTTTATTGAGGTTCAAGAATATATGTGAGTTTCACATTTCAGTCTCAGAAGGCTGCATTAACAAGCTTTTTGTTTGTTCAAATGACTTTTGTAGATATTTATATTTCAAATATTCTAATTGAGACAATAGTGAAAGAACTGAAAATACCTGATGATGAACGAACTAAGCCTCTTTCAAAAAGCACTATAAGATGATCGGGCTTCTGTTTATATGGCAATCATATCTATAAATTCACGATTCATATCTTCCATCCAGACATATGATGAGATGCAACGAATTTTTGAGCGGCACACCAGGAAAATCTAGCGACAGTGAGTACTTTCATTTATATTATACTTCCCAATTCATATGATTAATTGTTTATTGTGAAAGAAAAGTAAAAATCAAACAAGAATTTATGTTCATAATTGATATCATGCTGTAAGAATTAAAAAATAAGCTCTGCTCAAGCACAAGTATTATTTATGCACTGAAGATTTCCGTTGATATTCTCAAGTCTGCAACCATTTTTCATACTTGGTGTAAGTGTTTTTGACGTAAAAACGAGTGCGCCATTACGTGCAGAGCAGTAGCAGTTAAATACACAGTTGTTACCTATAATGGTGCACAGCTTACAGGTTTCGTTAAATGTGGACTCAGGACACACATAACAGGTAGGCCCTAAATAGTAGCAATCATCAATTATTAGAAATAAATCTTTCTAAGTTTTATTTTATTCATTTAAATACTTATTTGATAGAAAAGGTTTGAATTTGACGAAACTTCCACACTACAGTTAACGTCAAAAGTCTTGCACCACTTTTTTGTTTTGCGCCATGTATTAAAACTAGACGATATTGATTTGATTTCATAATATGCCTGTATAAGCGAAGTGAAGTACTATGTATATAGATACACCTGTTTAATACGAAAAATTCTTAAAATATTAAATACAACAAAAAAGACAAACTTGAACGTTAAGGAAAAAATGACATGAATAAAGACACAATAATATTGCTGTTATCACTTTTAGTAGGATCCGAGTAGTTTAAAAATCAAGTAAAAGCTTTTTACTATTTTTACATGGCTTGATAGAAGTCATCAAACTGTAGATAAACATATATAAGAAACTATTTTAATAATGTACAAAAACTCGCGTTTTTCATAATTTTTTCATGATTAAAAAACTGAACTTTTCATTTAAACGGTTTAAAAATGGGAGTTTATTGTAAATTTTATCTAAAAAAAAAAGTTTAAAAGTTTTTAATCTAGATAGTTTGTTAGACCATGTAAAAAAATAACAAAAACTGTTTGCTCGATTTTTAAATTACTTGCACTCCACTAAAAGTAATAATAGCAATATGATTTAGTCTTTTTTCATATTATTTTTTTAGCATTCAAGATTTGTTTTTGTTGATCATATTTTTTACTTAAGAGTTTTTGTTTTAAACAGGTGCATACATATAGTACTTCACTTCCACTACGCAGGCGTGTCATGGAATGAAAATAATGGCGTCTAGTTTTAATACACAACTCAAAACAAAAAAAAATGGATGCAAGACTTTTGACGTCGACTATAGTACACTGATGAGATAAGAGTTGATTTTTTGAATAGTCAGTGTAGAAGAACAATATTCAATATAAATGGTATGATGATGCCACGTCCTCAATCAAAGAGCGATCATTTGGACTAGAAGATGCGAAGTCAACAAATATCAAAAATTTCTAACAAGATCAAAAACATACGTATAACTGAAGAAATAAATCAATTGCCAATGAAAGCAAGGAACAGGAGAAATTTTTTGTCAGAAAAATTTCAATTTATATTGAATCTAGTCAATACAGGAAAAGAGAGAAATAGAAGTTCAACAGTACTGGAAGTATAATAAGGCTTCTTAGTGACAACTGAAAAATGTGGAATTGTGTTTCCACATTTTTTTTAATGAAATGAAAAAATCTCTTGGGAACTGCTATTTTGTGGTCAATCGATATTTTTGAGGGTTCCAGATAGTATGAAGAGATAGAGCTGATTATGAGTCATCTATCTTATATCAAGTAGAGTGTGAAAAAACCCCAAGAAATATGTCAGAAGTCTTATTGAATAGTTAACTTTATTACTTTGAAGAAATATCTAATTGACTCGATCTGTGTCACACTTTTTGAGCAGACAAATTTTGACGAAAGTTTTTTTCAAAGTCCCAACCACAGTATTTAATCTTGATTTTACGACCATTTTTTAGGAATGTGTCTGTTATTTTATTTTGGAAAAATTTATAACTTTTACTACCAAAAAAAAAAAATGAATTGCCGACCTTTATCTTGAAAATTATGACGTTAGAAAATACTGCATCGTAGAATGATAGCAAAAGGACGCAATCAATATAACAGGATGGAAGCTTACCTTCTATAGGGATCAATGAAACCGACAGTTCATATGTTAAGCGTGGAGAAAAACGAGCTCCTCCTCCCACCATTACCACAATCTGTCTCAACTTGATATAAGTTCTAAGAACATTTTTCTCGATCGATGCTGAAGTTTTGGTCTTGATGGAGATTTCTATCCAACTATATGAATACCTGGTAGTCTTATTATAAAGTCATTCAACTACATATGCATTGAGGCATGAAGTTTTATAAAAAATCATCGATACTTTGTTAGAATATTCCTGAAAGTTGAAAAAAGACCTGAACCGAGACTCTTGAGCTCAGTGCACGCTTATCTGCAATAGTATTGTGAAACATGATTGTAATGAGTATTGAAGTATATTGAGAGAAAGTTCCACCCATGTCTTTCCTTACAGGAAGCTTTCTTCCACCTGCTGAGACTGAGCCGGATATATTGATGTGCTCTTTTGAAGTCTGCACAAGCGTTGACAGAGCGCAGTACCTCACAAACCGAGAAAATGTTAATAAAACCTTTCCGTGTACAATAAAAGTAGCTTGACCTTGTTTCACATTTTAGTCTTGCAGGAATAGTACTGAGAGGCTTTTTCTTGAAACTCGACACTTCGTTCATCAATATGTATGAAAAAATACTGCTGTACTCATAAAGGCTGGTATTGACTACAAGTCTGTACTAAAACTTAAGCGTTGCTCATCATCGAATATGTGAGAGTCACTACTTAAATGAATGCA